GTATGTTTGAGCTATTTGCTTTTCGTGAAGCTACTACATTTAATCTCTTGCGACCTTTGGAGTTGCATTCAGTTTCGCTTTTGTAAAACAAAATTCTTTAGTTTGGCACTTATTATTTTTGGTGAGGTCCCTATCTTTTGCCCTATGTTTGCGTGGCGTGCCATATCTGCAGTGGGCATCCAGGCGCGTGACAGTGTTGCCATTTCAAGTTAAAATTCACGATAATCAAGTGATTTGTTTGTTATCCACTGCTTTGAGTTAATGTTACGCTACGCACACCTGTCTTATTTACAAACGAGATCACTTCTAATTTTATTTTAATGCTGCTTGTATTGTCCTAGCTGTTTCACTGAGTTGTTCGTACATGTCCCATAAGTAGCAAATTTGTTTGTTTTTGCGGGTCGCTAAAATTGTTCGCAGCAATTAGAGCTTGCCATTATATTCAATGGATTACCATACGGTGTTATGTTGGATTTGCATTTGACTGTACAATTTGTTTTGCTCTATTAAAACACGGTATAATTGTTTTTCTTCTATCGCTCCTTGCTATCACTCTTGGTGGAGCGATTATACGTTTGCTTTAACTCTGTTTACGTATTGTTTTCATTTGCGTGACGCGAGAAACGGTCACGTGTTCTTTTTGAGCCTTTGTCTTGTTTATCTTCGCATCAACTGCTTTCAGTTAGGCATTTTGAGGCCCATACATTAATTTGCTTAGTTATAAGTGGCGTTATAAGCCAATTTTTATCGCGGTTTTCTCGTTATATTTTCCTACCTTCGGTATTTCATTCTTCGATGCCTTCAAGGGTGCATTTCTTTTCGGTTGGTTCGTTCTTATTGTCCTGTGGCTTTCTGCCTAGTTTTAGTCGCGAGCTTGCTCATCGTTCTATGTGCATGGTGTAGGTATACTCAGTGGATTTGTTTGTTTGCGGATTTGAGGCCCATCAGTACTATTCTTATTTATCCGTTGGTGAAGCATGAATGCATTTGCATGCATGGCAGTCGCGTGCTTTGGGTGAAACTGTTTGTTTTTGATCCGGCAAGACTATCTTTGTGTTGGTGTTCATGGGTCATGGGTGCAGTAACGTGTACGATCAGTCTTTGGTGAGGTACGATTTATTTTGTCATTAGATACAAACGCTCACTTTGCGTGAAGGGAAGTGGATATTCCTTTGCTGAGGCAAGCTTTCGTTTGGTTATTCGAAACAAAAGCTCGTTTTGGGTGCAGTGCACGATATGCTTTGGTGGGGCAAAATACCTCCATTTTGGGTAAAGCAACGTGGAACTGTGCTTTGGGTGCCAGGCAAACAACATTCCATTTATAACTTAAGACATTTATCGTGCGTATTACGACGCTTTTGGTGATGTAACGTGCATGTTTTCACGACATTGCTTTGGAGCCGGTTTTCCGCTGAGCGGAGTTTAGCGCGCGGGGCGGAGTTTTTTCTTTGTCTTGTGATTTCTCGGGTGGAACTAATTGGAAACGACGGGATGGGGTTCCGCTCCGCGCGCGGGGTTCCGCCTGGTGGAAAGCGGGCTTAAGAACAACCTTTTAGCTTTTCATCATTTTCCAAAGGAGGGGGTTTTCTGAGTATTGGAGAGAGAGAGAAGATTTCTCGCTTTTGAAGTCTGATCGTCATGAAGTCTTTGTAATATTTTCTGTCTATGGTGCTGCTTAAGGAGCCGGAGTCCGCCGGGGCTGAAAATTATTTATCCCCAATCTGAATTCCCTGAATCAAAGGTATTGTGCGGGGAAAGCGACCAGTGAGAATATATTACTATTCTCACTGGGAGTTTTCTCTCACAATACCATATACTTTGAATATTTATGCATGAGATGATAATTAGTCATCCATATACACCACGTGATTATCAGACAGTATAAAAGTAGCACAGAATCGGTATCTTTTGAGCATTTGCGGATTTGCCACCGAAAAGGAAGGACGGCGCTAAAATTTTGTTTTGGGACCTACCCACCTCCCCTCGGCTGCGACACTTCCGGACCTAGCTTCGCCGCACTCTACCTTTGGTTGAAAATTATTTATCCCCAATCTGAATTCCCTCAATCAAAGGTATTGTGGAAAGCGACCAGTGAGAATATATTACTATCAAGGATACGACAAGTTCATGATTTTTCTTTGTGTTTTCCTCATGAATTATTGAGTTTTTGAAACTATTTAGACAACAGTCAGTCACAACGTGCACGAGCTTTTATCTTTTAAAAGATTCCTGAACCACGGTTGTTTAACGTATTCTGCCGTATAGCAAATATAACAGTTGAGCATGTTTTGAAATGTTATTCTTAAAATCATCATCCAACCTCATAGCTGCAATGCCAAGTGATATAGGCTCAACTATCTGGTCTTGAATTATACTTTAAAGTGAACAAATAACAAGACAACTATATTAAAGAAATATTCAGGATATATTTAAAATGTATAATTGAAAGATCAAACTTTTCCGTATTCCTTAGGAAGAATCGCGATAACCGGCGTCTTCACCACGTAGCAAATTAATAATATACTTTCTCTATTCTGGTCAACTGAATTTCGAAGCCTAATTACTTGAAATATAAGAAAGTTTCCTCGAAAGCATTAACAGGCGGCATATCTTTGATACGCGACTATAAACGCGTCAACGCGAGCAAAATTATTGTTGACATTTGAGTTACGTAATTACTTCCGTTAACGAGATTAACCAATTCCGAAGATTCTTCTTCGGAGAACAAATTAATCATACGCATTTGGGCAGGCGTTTATTTAACGACGCCCTTTCTTCCCCCGCCCGCACTAAACGCCTGCTACGCAGGCTACGAGCACATGTAAAACGAGAGTTTATATAGTTCACATTTTGTTAGTAATAAAATATATATCTTTTGCAATCGTTATGTTCCATACGAGGGGTCCGACACGGCTGAAATCTCGTACACTCGACTCAGAAATCAACTGAAATCAAACCCGAAATCAAGAAATCACGAGAGAAATTAGTGAATTTTGAAATCAGAAATCACTAAAACTTCGATATTATTGAGCCCACAGTCTTATATGACAGCGGTAACTCACGGAAATCAGGAAATCGGGTTAGAAATCAGGAAATCAGGTTAGAAATCACGTTAGAAATCAAGAAATCGCATTATAAATCAACAGAAATCCGTTTAGAAATCAACAGAAATCAGATTAGAAATCAAGAAATCAGGTTCGAAATCGCGTGATTTCTAAATCTCGTACGCTTCATGTGGCCGTGTCGGACCCCTCGGTTCCATACGTGAAGGGAAATAGGAGTAACACTTACACAGTGCCCACAGCCCGTTTTGGTATGTATTTTATGTTAGTGTATTGCGTATAGTAAGTCTTATACAGGTTTATATACTTCGAACCTGTTACTCGGCAAAGCTACGAGCAATTGTCATGGCCAGAAATCACGGAAAAGATTATTCTTCTTTCCGTTACTAATTTGCTTATCATCGATGCATCATAACCCGTTGAAATACGGCTTCTGCAGTAAGCAGTAAATTATATTACGCGACGCTGTAACTTAATCTATAGAGAATACGGTAATAAAAAATTAGAGAATACGGTAGGCCGTTAGTAATTTGCCTCAATTGCTGGTTGCAGATCACATTTTGTAGCAATGTTTAGTGTAATATTTGCCTGGTGCAATTAAGTTACTGCCTATAGGTGAATGGAATTGACAAAGGATTTTCCTTGTCCTTTGGATTTTCTTTGTCCTTTAAATCCCATGGAAGTGGTTGCACATCACCTATTCTGCATTTTCGTTTGTTCCTAGTGACCGTAGAGCGGTATTCGTATATTGGGTTAAATAGACAAACGTGGACACGTCATAAAAACTAACATCTGTACAAAGTTGAGAATGCAGAATAGGCAGTAACGGAAATCAGACCAACATTGCACTAAACATTTCGGCAGAGTTTGTTTTGCAGTCAGGAATTGAGGCTAGTTGCAAACTACGTACTTTATTCTCAGATTTTGCGATTAACAACGTCGCATTATATAATTCACAGTTTACAGTTGAAGCCATATTTCAACATGATACCCAAATTACGAAGTAGGTAGAATAAATCATGTGCGTCATTTCTGGCCATTATGCAGCGAAATGCAGAATTGCTTTATAAAAGTCTAAAATTGGCCAGAATTTTGGAAAAATTTGGACGGGGAAATGGGGTATACACATCATCCTACTTTCAGGACCCTCTTTATGGATGGTTCTATTATTTATATATTATTCTGCCCAAAGGTCGGCGGAATAAGACCATTCGACATATAGTGCTATTTCAGGGGAAACCAAAACTGACTATAGGCCGTTTTTGAATGTCGAAAATCTCTATCAATTCTAAACTTTCCACTTGAAAGATCCATGCAGCAATGAGATATCTTCTCAAATTCATTAATAATTCATGAGCAATTCAGCCAATGAGAATCACCTATTTGATCACAAGATGCCATTTGGATAACCCGGTGAAATTTGATGAAAGACACTAGTGTTTTCATAAAATATCTTAATTACGCATGCAAAATTACTTGAATAGAATTCCTAATTACGTTACGCTTGGTTAAGAATTCTATTCAAATAAGCAAACGAAAACATTCTGTTACGTCTCGATTCATTTGAGAATCCATATAAACAACTCTAGCTCGTGTCTCACCGGGATATCCAAACACTCGAAAACAATGTATGAAAACACTCGCGCTTCGCGCTCGTGTTTTCATACATTGTTTTCTCGTGTTTGGATATCCCGGTGAAACACTCGCTCTCGTTGTTCATATATTACTTCTCGATCCGTCTTACTAAAAGAGTGACAAATAGTATTTGCTATATAGAGCCAATTAGTCAAACTGCATGGAAACCCTCTTCTTATATTATGCAACTGAAACTTCATTTAATTCAGTAGACTACGGCAAAGACTACATATTGCCAGAATCGATCAATGCCAATGAGCAACGAACAGTGGAATTCCAAACACTAACAGAACCAAAATTTACCTTCAGGTAGTTCATCACAAAATTTATTTTCGAATGATACATCATCCACAGCGATGCTCGCCTTGACGCTTGGATCTCCGACTTTGCCCAAAATAATGATCTGAAATAAATAGCAATTATTTGATCAAAAATATAATGATATGTTATTATATTGTATATAGGCATAATAGACCTGTTGTGAGCTCGAAAAGGGCCTAGAAAACGATATATTTTCAATAAGCATGTCTTAGATCTGAAATATTTTTACGGGAACTGATACTTTCGAACACGCTGAGTTCAAATCCGAAAAGTTAATCCCACTCCGTAGACCCGCAGTTTTCTCACAAAATGCTACTGATTTTGTCTTCACTAATTTCACAGCAATTTTTTTTTCAACGACACTGATCGATGACAATACACGATTATGTCACTCAATTAAAAGGACCGATTTCTATTAACCATTCTTCCTTTTAACAAAAGATCGGTTTTGCTCGAATCATTTTGAGTTATGCAATCTTATGCGTGTTGGACGTAAACAACATATCTTGTCTACAACTTTGAGAAGGTGCAGATAATTCCTTCTAATATCCTTAATTCAGGATCTATCTCTATAAAATCACAAGGACGTCAATGTTAAGTCTTTGGGCTATGTCTCTGGGCTGAGAAATAATTCTTTACATGGCGATTAAAATGGTTTATACAAAGATGTAAAACGGCCTTAATCTATATATTATGTAATGCCTGATCACCATTTAAATTTCCAACACAGTTTCCGAGACGTAATTCAAGAGATAACTTATCATTGCATTTGAACTACTGCATCAGTTGGTGTTATACTGTGCGATAAGAGAATATTATTGGAAAGAGGGCTTATACATATAAACAGCTCATGTACACATTTCTCCACTCAGTCGTAAGTTTACAGAGCATATACTTTATATTTTGGGAATGATCTTTGTCTTTGATGTGACCATTTATTCTTATAGTTTAAGGTTATTTTATATTTTAAGGTTATCGTAAGTGTTCTACCAGAAACCAATCGACAAGATATGTTGTTTACGTCCAACACGCATAAGATTGCATAACTCAAAATGATTCGAGCAAAACCGGTCTTTTGTTAGAAGGAAGACTGGTTAAAGGAAATTGACCTTTCGAGTGACATAATCGTGTATCGTCAGAAGATAAAATAGCATTTTGTGAGAAAACAGCGGGTCTATGGAGTGGGAACTTTTCGGATTTGAACTCAGCGTGTTCGAAAGTGTTAGTTCCCGTAAAAATATTTCGGATCTAAGACATGCTTAATGAAAGTGAACGATATCGGGTCACAACACACGGACCATAAGTGTGTGCTGCCGGAATTTGTTCCCTTAAAATGAGCTGCCATGATCAAAATTGTATATGGTTGCTGATCAAACGCACTGAGGAGCAATTGACAATCATTATGTTGCAAAGAACGAAAAATTATTAACAATACCTGATAAACATCGGTTGAAGAAAAATCTAAATATATCTGAGCGAAGTTCCACTTATGGCCGTGATTTCCATAGCGAGTGAAAGCGATATCTTCATTGGTAGATTTCTGACGTTTGGTTAAGATTTTCAAATATCCAGTTTCATTTCCATAGAGGTAGAAATAGAACCTCATGCAAACAGGTCCTGTAATCTCATCACTGTAGAGCTTCACTTCTTTGTCCTTCTGGTAATGGGAACTGCTGGCATCGATAACTATATAGCCATCACCAACACCTATGTATTTGGGTAATCAGCATAGATGAATTAGAGTGAAGTTTATTTTAAGGAGTCATTTGCGCCAAGAGAATGACGAGAAAGCAGATTTGCAAATTCTAGATTTAACCGAGCCAGGCAAACGCTCTCTATACGGACTACGTAGCCGACAACGGTGCATGAAAAAATATTAGTAATGAGAACTCCAGAGAGGTGATTTTGGGGCCGGAAACCGGAAACAGAGCCTCTTTTAACATATAAACTATGGTTTGCCCTCTCCATAGTTAAACAAATTGGCCTTCCAAGAAAGGTCCCTTATGTTTAAAATATTAGACAAAGAGGAAATGTTAGTCAGGGCCGTAGCTAGGGTGCGTATATTCATATATTCATGTTCACATACCGTAAAAACAATCGCTTTCAAAAGAAATCCGTCGGGCAGAACACGAATATATGAATATACACCCCCTCCCCCAATTATCGGTCTAGCTACGGTCCTGATGTTAGTTACCTATTAAGAAGGGTGTTTTAAAGCAGCTTTTGGCTATAGCAGGAAAAAATAATATATCAAAACGTAGTATCTGAAAATGCAAGAATGCTCCCCAGGCCAGGTGAGATAGGTTCAAAATTGTTGCCACTTCATATACAGTAGTTAGATTGTTTTTCCCTGATATGCCAGATAAGCCGACCGCACATTAGTCCATGTAGTCAATTTGAATAATTTGTTATCACTTTCATTACTTAAAAATTCAATATGTATACGTAATAGGTCGTTTTCGAGTGAACTTTGGAGTTTTTCAACGACCATCGAAATTGCACGAGTCCGAAAGACAAGTGCAATTTGAAGTCTTAGAAAAACTCACCGGTCAATGTTTTTTCAAATTGCACGAGAAACCATACCATCAATACTTATCAATAATATACATGACAAAAATTATGCAGTCACGTGCGTAAGTCACTCATGGAAATAATTTATTCTTTCTTTTGAATACACAACAACAGAATAAACAACAAATATACAACTGTCACTCTACAATATTTTAAGCCATTCAGAAAGCCTAAATAGTCAATAACATTTTCACTGTGTTTCTTTTTTTGCTCACTATATTTCATTTTTTGGCACTGTATTTGGAAAAAATTGCACTGCTCTTAGCCAATCAGAATTGAGAATTTTTCATGTATATTATTAGGTTAATTACCACTCCTGGTTTTTGAAAACCGTTACAGATGATCGTTTTCTTGTCAAAAATCTGTAAAATGATTTAAAAACGTGCAAATCTCGTTTGGTAAAGCAATTATCGCATGTTATCGAACTAAAGTTCAGCCATGCGGTTTATCACCTTGTCTTCCTGTTAAAATCTTAACATCTTTCGTTGTCGAGTTAACAATGATCCAGTGATTTAGAAGTTTTCCTTGGTTGGTCCAGGCTCCCAAACAATCTGTAAAGTTGGAGTCAGGGTATTTCCCTAAAGACAATAATTTACAAATTCACATACATGATGTGGGAACAACGCAGTTGTCCAGAGAGAAAAGCTCCTGCCGGATTTGGATGTATGAAAGCTTTTGAAGGAATGAAGAAATTTTATTATTAATTCTGCATAAGAAAGCAATAAGGCACAGAACCGAACGAATTCGGAGCTTCCGCACACTTGTTTAAATATGCGATTAGAGTAATGTCCCACAGTTTCGCGTAACGAAACGTTTGCCTCAAAGCGTTTGCCTATTCTTATATTAGAGACCTTTAGATTGACGTTTACGGCAAACGTCAAACCGCTAACGAAGTTTTTTTATTTTACAACTCTATTATAACAGCTTTTACACGAGTTTTGAAATATATTAAATATATTAAACTTGTGCTCTTTACAATGATTTAAGAAAACAATTTTACCACTAGTCACGTATTCATCAAAGCAGTAAATTAAGATCCGGTGTTTGAAGTTGATGTTTGGCGTATAAATTTCATGCTTGAACTGCTACGAGGCGCAAAGGATCAGGAAGCGAGAGTGAAGATGAGTTTGAATTCGCTTAAAATTTAGATGTTGATAGCAATCGACCTTTTCGTGGCGAATTTGCTTTTTTACGGCAAATACCAAACGATCAATTGAAAATTGCCAGATGAAATCAAATGTTATATTTGCATATATGTGCACAAACTAAATAATGTTGGACTTGCCTCATCTGGGGAGCAGATTCTCCACAAAAGTTTGCTAAAATGTTTTAGCCACGAAATATTTTCGCTAATTCGCGAAGTGAGCCATCTTCAAATCCACCTGCAGACTTGGAAATAACTTATACAGTGTAGAGCGTTTGCACGTGACGTCACAACCGCATGTTGGTGCTCCAATTCAAAAGAATTTTAATATTAGACTCTTTTGTCTGGAAGACCAACATGGCCGCCATGGCTTTTGTTGAGTTGGTCATTGAGGAATGAGTGAAAACGCTCTATACTTTGGACCATTCAAATCCTTAGATTTAAATTATACCCAATTCACAACCTTAGATAACTCACATGCCTATAGTTCTTATTGTTTTAGTTCACAAAAGTATAAAATAGAACAAAGGTAACTACAGGCTAGGGTATGTCAAATAAATTGACCTTTAGAATTCACGGCCTTTAATTTTGTGGTAAAATCCAAACTTCATTACCTCTGGCTTTGGCAGTTCAGAATGCATTGTAATCGTACGAGCATGTTAAAATTGCAAGTAAAAACGACTTAGAAAATAGTCCAGTCAGTTGACCCAGTTCGATTAAAAATGGTTCAACTGACTACAGAGCAAAGAGTTTTTACTACTTTTTTTAGACACCCTGCATGTATAAACTTTAAAATTATCCACACTGAGTAACTAACTCTTACACATAATTCTAAGGGAGTGGTCATTATTTATGTGGAGGGGGGGTTGGGAAATGGGAGGGGGCAAACGAAGTTTTACCCTTATAAATAGGGGGGGTCAAAAAATTTTAACACAGAGAGAGGGGGGTCGTAAAAGTTTTTGAACTTAAATACCATGTCTAGAGTTCCGATTTCTATAATCACAAATAGCAAAAAGGAAGACTCTGAAAATGCTATTTCCAACGATCTAGAGACTCGAAATTTTCAAAATTTCCCTGCTCGGCGCCAACCATGATAGCGCCTCGCGATCGTGGGAGTCGGGCCCACTAAGTTTAACAAGCTTTCTACCCCCTGAGTGACCCAGTTGTGGTATTTACATAAACATACCATGCAAGTACACTTAACTGATCAGATTCGGTAATGCTCATGAGCATTTCAGTTCTAGGGGTGGAAAAATACAAAAAATTTTCTGGGGGAGAATACCTCCAGACCCCCCTACTAGTACATACGATACCACACCAAACTTTTTGTCACCAACAACCGTCTGTCATCTCTCCACACTCAATATAGTATGGTCCCTTTTTGTAGATGCCCACCCCCCAGACAAGTTCTTAAAAAAGTCCTGTGTTCAAATCATTTCGCTGTATGAAGACGGGTCATGGGTTAGAGTTATGGTAGGACAAATGTTGCATTGCAAAGTAGTAACACATAATATATATTTTTTTTATCATATATGGTTGAATCATATTCACCAGGGTAAAACATCATGAGCTAGATTAAACAGATTGTCCTAATATCTAACTTTACCTGCAACGCACACCTGTTTCATTGCTGTTAATTTTTCAATCCACACTGGGGGGGTGTGAGAAAAGTTTCTACTTTTATGAGGGGGAGGCACAAAAAGTTTGCCTTCAGTCTGGAGGGGGGGGGGCAAAAAAGTTTTCAATCCTTATTTTCCCCATTCCCCTCCCCATAAATAATGACCACTCCCTAATTGCTGGTTACCTTTGTTCAATTATATATACCTCTGTAAACTAGAACAATGATTAGGCCAAAAAAAATATGTCGGTTTCCGGTCTCTTCTTACAAAAACTTAGGTAGGGTACGTCGAATTTAATTTCTTTTTTAATTTTTTTTTAATTTTCCGAACAACCGGACGCCATTTTGTTTAGTCAGTGCTTCCAAATCCGAAGATAAATTTCCATAATATTGCCTCAAATTTCAATTTTCCACAAACTTTTTCCTCTAAGTGGAAACACTTACGAGCATGATCCAATAAAAAAGTTTAGGGTCGGGACTTCGACGTCCAAAAGCTAGGTAGGGTCGGGAGACCAGAAACCCACATATTTTTTTGGCCTTACTAGACATATACAGGGAAAAAAATAAATTAAAAAAAATGTAAAAAATAAAAAGTGTAAAAAATGTAATCCAACTTTGACAGGTTACCGGGCGTTAATTACTACGTTTATAGGTTTTTTGTTTTCGTGTTTATAAAGATCAGACTTTTGGCTGTCCAATGACACCTTTATGGAATCATTGCGATAAGAAATTATCAAAGACGATCTAATTAGGATTTATATTAAATGTTAATATAATTCCAATAATTCCAATTTTCGAACATTTACTCAGCAAATGCTTGTTGCCCATTTGGAAAACGCATGGCTTCGCGACTTCAGTGCAATGCAAACTTCTAGTTCTGTAGAATGTTTTAAACCACTCAATTTCGATGCAAAATTCCGAGTAGAAATTTACCAAAACTTGATCCTTACAACGTGTCGCATCATCTTGATTCAAGCGACTTAAATTTGAAACCCAAATGTCTGAGAGTATGTTCAATACTCAGCAGACAGGAGCTTTACACGCAATTCCCAACGGTCGAAAAAGGCGATTTTTCAATCGCATCGTACTTGCTATTTTTGATCGCCATGAAGAAGAATGGTATCATTCGACAGCTAAGTCTAAGCACACGATTTTTTGCTCCTGGGAATTTAAAAGAGCTTCTAATAGCATAAAGTATAGAATAACTACACAAAAATTGTCAAATTGCAAATCAGTCATATAGCATCAGTTCGTCGAGCAACAAGTTTTCCGCGCAGTTTTAAATTAATCAGCACATAATCATGTGTTGACAAAAAGTAAAAAACCAATAACTTTTTAAATTAAAATAACTCCTCGTGCATAAAATTCAATTCAATTAATTGTCTTTTGTCAATGTAAACTTGAACTGTCTGCGCCGCGGATTGATTGAGATACAGCTATCTCAAGAATACAAGCACTGACTGCGACGTTTCGAGCAAAGACTTTTATCGGATTATTTATCTTCTATTTGCACTATAACTATAGGTCGATTATCCATTGAGAGTACGAATGACGCATCTTTAAGAATAATTATCTATCTCTATAGTATAAGCACGCAAGTAACCAACCTCGAGAAACAGTAATCGTCAGCAAAATGGCCAAGAAACAACTGTATGACTCTAACTCTGAAACAGCCATAACAAAACCTACAAGGGATATAGTAATGATAGACTTCGAGTTGCAGAATATAACATCCAGGGCTCTTCGAGTCGAGGGGTGTTCTACTCGAAAATTTGATTAGTTTAACAATCCATGCAGAAAAGACCCGTTGTACAACAGTACAAGTCAACATTGTGGAAGTATAATATACTTTTGCCTATGCTTACCTATAGCTGTTATTTCCACCGGTTATTTTAATGCATGACCTTACTATATTCTTTTATTTAAATACACACCCTGTTATTCGCAAAAAAACTATTAATTATATAGGGCTCTTAGAGGGTCTCTTAGAAACCTTTAATAGGCTTTATTAAAACTCCTGCTACATGTTTAATCATATAGAGGGCAAAATTACTCAAATAAATTTCGCTAATGAGGAGGGCATTCAGGGCAAAATTACTTGTACCTGATTGGCTGAGACGCAAGCGCGGGAAGTTTCTTGTTTGAAATAGCAATGAAAACAATGGCTTCTCCCTTTGTCGTCACGCGCATAATAGACACCTTAAGATTGACGTATTTTTCGCAAACGTCTAACCGCTAACCGCTAGAAACCACGTGAAACCTCAAGAGTGCATTCTACAGGTAAGTGATTTACTTCAGCATTTTATTCAACAGTTATTACTTCATTGCACGTATATCACATATATTAAGACAAATATACATCTTATCTTTGATTTGGATGGATAAAAGTTGCTTTTAACAGAAAATTTTTCATATTCTGAGTGCTTTTAACCGAACCATGTATAAATTCGATATATATGGCGCCCAATCGACTCTCTAATTTATTTGGGTTAAACAAACATGAAAATTTCGATTGTCAGTTCAATATTTTGAGGCTGATTTTGGTATGATAGATTTCTTAAATTGAATTTGTTTATTTTAAGTCGTGTTTTGAATCATTTTAATTAATAAACGTTTACATTTGAACATTCACGATAAAGCAAGTTCAAAATCATTGATGACCTTTTCACAGTCCGTGCAGTTTAAACATACTTGCATATTTCTTACTTACATTTATACGGCTTTCATATTTCAATTCATTTTAACAAATTGGTAGTGACATTTGTTTGTTTTTTTTGACAGGATGGCACAATCAAAATCGCATGGTGTAGACGTGCATTTTTGAGCTCCGTATTTAAAACGTTTCACCCAGTATATTGAACCAGAGAGATTAGAAGATTTTGTTAAATTTACTCAGATATTTTACACAATTGTGTTAAAATGAGTACAGTTAAAGAGCTTAAGAAGGAGAACGATATGCTTTAAAGCAGAAAGTTCAAGACATGAGACAAGATTTGAAAGGCATAAGTGAACGCGTTGGGTCTATTCGCTCTGAAGCCGTTAAAAGTTCAGACCTACAGTTTTATAGCAATACATATGATGATTTGCTTACGTTTAAGAAGGACACGCAAAACGAACTCAAACGAATTGGTAACAAAATAGATTCTACTTCAGACAAAGTTGACCAGATCGCAGCCGCCATTACTGCCTTCGAAGACTATAGTTACCAATATAATCTTAAAACCGTGGGCGTGCCTCATGCAAGTCAAACAAAACGAGTCGTGTGAAGAAACCGCCAGCTTATGCCTAAAGATCTTTGCTGGTTTAGGTGTGCAGGAAATCTCCGTGCAGGACTTAGATATAGCTCATCGAGTCCCTCGAAGAAATAGCGGGAGCAGAGTCCTCTATATAGACAGCACAACTCCCCAGGGAGATTTCAAAATTATTTTGATGAGAGTCTGGAAAGATTTGGTTCATTGAACAAACCTGTTTACATATTGGGTGATTTTAACATAAACCTCCTCCGAATTGAGACCTGTTCGTATGCTCATAACTTTTTACTTACAATGTAAAGTTATGGATTTAGTCCAACAATAGATAAACCAACTAGAGTTCACAAAGATTCGGCTACGCTCATTGATAATATTCTTATCAATAAAACAAATGGTTCAGTTCAAAGCGGTAATATTGTATCTGATATAAGTGACAGATCATTTCTCACAGTTCTGTGTAATCTTATCAAACACAAGCAAGCTAACTAGGAGGAACACTGTAATACGTTTTTCAAAAAAAACTTTTAATAATGATCTTGCACAAATTGAATTTGATGAACCAAATGTGAACAATGCAAACAGTATTGATGAAATATTCTCAAATTTTTACACCAAAGTCAATAAAATAGTAAATAAACATGCACCTCTCACAACATGTTCAAAGCGCAAATCTAAACAACTTCTCAAACCGTGGATAACGAAAGGCTTACTTAAATCAATACGAATTAAAAATAAGCTATTTTATTCTGGAGAAAAATATAAGCAATATAGAAACAAAATCTCAACGTTAACAAAATTAAGTAAAACAAATTATTATCATAATTATTTTTCTAACAATATAAATAATATGAAGAGAACCTGGCAGGGCATAAATACTTTGATTAATAATAAAAGAAGAGATAAACGTAACATATGTACTTTGAAAAGACCAAACGATGGAAGTGTCACAAATGATCCC